AATTTTGAGAAGGTGCATTGAGAAGAGCTGGAGCATCACCGTTGAAAGTGTCTGGCGTACTCTGCCCTCGGGCTCCAGAACCAGGCTCACCAAGAAATTCTTGGGCAACCCCGCCTGCATGGACGAGTACTAAACTTCCTACAGGGGCATTCAAAGCTCCTTGGCTACCTGAACTCCTCGAATCATCACCACAAAGTGGTACCCAAAATTTTCTTGTAGCTTGCACTACTCAACCCAGTGCCTAGAGAGGCGTCTGACCCATTCTGCTTGCCCAATTGGGCAACCCAGTGCCTAGAGAGGTGCTTGGCCCCCTCTGCTCGTACAAACGAAGTAGTCCTGCAGGGGCCTAACCATTTGTGCTCGCCCAAAATGGCGCCTCTTGGTGCCTTCACTCCAAGACCAGCCTTCTTTCCACCTCCTTACTCACCAGGATCAGCGCCCCTAGGCGCTTAATGGACCAGATCAGCATGCCCAGCGTGCAGGCCAACATGAATGAAGACTTGAGCAGCCCCCTCACCTACTGCGAGAACTGTAGCAACGCACAGCGATGTCGTTTGCTCGCCTAGACCTTTCTCGACGCCTGCCTTCCCATCTCCACGCCAGACCACCCTTCCTACGCGAGCAGGTTGTTCCTCAAGACGACTTGGAGTGGCGCTTAGGCAATTCCCCAGCTCACCCAAGGTCTCTTACTCGCCCAAGTTTCTCAAGTCAGTACCCTAAAAGGCGCCCAAGGCCTTTTGCTCTCCCAAAACAACGTGCCCAGTTGCATGGTCGTCCAGAGCAGTGTTTGCTTGCCCAAAACCGCGGGCCAGTAACTCTACTCACTATTTTGACCGTAACTTTTGGTATGTAACTCAAAATGGGTCTTATTATATACCAAATCGAAGCTCTCGATGAGCTAAGCAAACTTTTGGTCATTACTAAAAAGTAATGAGCTTTTCAAAAAAAGTCCAAAAAATATTCAGAAAGAGGTGTTTTGGCCTCCTGAAGTTAAAAAAAAAAAAAAAGTCTGCTCGCCCAGAACAGTGCTCTACTCGCCTGGACAGCTACTTGCTTGCCCAAATTGTTCGCCTAGCTCTCTGCTTGAAATTTTGACCGTAATTTTTGTTCTGTTGTTTAAAATAAGGCTTATAATATATCAAATCGAAACTTTCGACGAGCCCTACAATATTCACAGCCTATGGCTTTGAATGATGCTGTTAAAAGTCCAAAAAGGCCTATAAACGGATGTTTTGGCCTCCCAAAATTTTTTCAGTTATGCCGGTCAGTCAAAAATTCAAATTTAACTTAAATGTCCTCCTTTTTAAGTTCTATTGGACATAGGGCATTGAGGGGCAAATGATGGGCCAAGCCCAAAGGCTCAACCCATGTTATAAGTCTGGTCTGAGCTAAAAGCCCAATTCCAAGAGATCCAGCTAGTTAAGCCCAAAAGAGTCTACATCCGGATAACCTTATCAAGATCAAGGAGCTACATTAGTAGGGGAGCATGCATGGTCATCCAAGAGCCTCTTCTACCACCTTGGAGTAAAAGGGTCATCCAAGAGTTTCCTCTACCACCTTGGAGTATGGGTTATCCAAGGGTTTCCTTTACCACCTTGGAGTAAGGGTCATCCAAGAGCCTCCTCTATGCCACCAAGAGAGCATCCAGGAGCCTCATTCTCACCACTAAGGGAGCATCCAAGAGCCTCACCCTCGCAGCCTAGAGAGAGTCAACCTCCCTCATCCTTGAACAAGTCCTTTGGAGAGCACACCAACCGTCACACCTCGCCCGTTGAGAAGATGATAGGTCACCTTCGCCAGATTAGCTACGTAATTACTATCAAACGGTCCTAAGTCATTATGACCGTCAAACTAGTCAGACAATTACTATACCAAGCCACTATAAATTGTAGCTCCCCTAACACTTCGGAGGCATCAAACTCATTTGAGTATAATTCTCTCCTCCCCTCTCAAAGCTTGTAATCATGTGCTCTCCCTCTACATCGGAGATAATAAAATTCCAGCGAACTTAGCCATTCAAAGTGGACGTAGATCGTATCGACCAAACCACTATAAATCCTGTCTTCTCTCTCCTTCTACTTACTGCATTTTATACTACAACTTGACTAGTGGTATACAAACTAATTTGTGCATCATCAACCATCTCCCTCCTTAACTGTCAATGCCATCACCTTGCTAATCAACTCTGCCACTAATCGAAAATTCCAATTTTCTTCAAAAACTATAATTTATGATTCCGCCAAAAAGTTGCATTTTAGGGTTCAAGTTTGGGGTGACAATTTCTAACATAATAAGAAAATATGATTTAAAATCGACATAAAATTAGTATGTTAAGGTTGACTATTTCTCGACACGAACCCGTATATGACACGACCAGTTAATATGAATAATAAATGAGTTGAGTTAATGTTTGAAATTGACACGATTAATATGTTTAAATAGTATTATAAGAATAAAATGTCAAATTTTTATTATATTTTATCAAGTAGTAACCTAATTCTTGTACAAAAATGAAGATATTTTTACTCATTTTTATAATTACATTTATTAAGTTAATTTTTAGTTTATAAAAAAATATGAGCATAAGTTCGATTAAGTAATAATAAAATTTTAAATAAAAAATTAAATGTTAAATTTTTTATTCACGGATTATATGAGTCAACATGAACACGACTTAAAAATAAATATGCCAACATGAAATAATTAGTTTAACGGATTTGGTTAGAGTTGACTAGTATTTGACACAAACCTGAAATAACACGACACGAATACCATTCGATACAACACGATTGTCACTTATACTTCCAGCAATGTCATAGGTGTATTAGTTTTATTTTTTTTATTCAACAGTCAGGATTGTCTAGGCTAGTTTATATGCACTTCAACTAATATTCTCTTCGATCCGATTAAAGGTATTTATGAAGCATATAAATATATCGACTTCTTGTCTTCATCATGTGATTCTATCTTTACACATCCTCAATATTCACCAACTAGCAATAATTTCGTGTTTAAATACATTTTATAATAGTATTAAAAATTGAATATTAATTATGATATTTATTTTTTATCTTATCTTTAATTATGTAATTTAAAAATAGAGTATACATAAAAAAAAAAATAAGACAGATATAAGGAAAAGAAAAGAGAGAGATAGGTGTTATTTAGTGGAGTTATTTGTTATTGAAAAATGTAATAGTAAGTTGGTTTGCTATCTGTTAGAGTATTAAATAGAAGTGAGAGAGAGAGAGAGAGAGAGCCGTAAAAGATCCCTGGAAGAGAACTTTAAATAATGTGGAGCGGACCCCTACCATGATTGTCTTGTTCATTGTTGTAACTTCCAACACACTAGCATTATCTTTTTGTTTTTTTTTATTAATAATTAGAAATATTTAAATTAATTTACACATATTTTAATTATTATTTTTGTCCGATCCGATAAAAACAAATTATTCATGCCGACACTAATGTCATCTTTTTGGACTTCACAACCCAATCCTCCTACGTCATGTGCCATTCATTTTCTAATACGTTTCCTATTAATAACCGGCTTATTAGCAGGGGCGGAGTCAGTATCGGGCAAACTAAATTTTCTACTCATTCATCGTTTTACTGAAAATATCTTTAAATTTTTAACTTAAACAAAATATAAAAAAAAAATTATAAAATAACATATATTTAGTACATTTCAACTCAATCACATACTAAAATAGAAGATAATGTTATTTCAAATTTTAAAATTTGTTCATAATGAATTGATGATAATCTAAATTTTTAGTAATTTTCTTCAATATACAAAATCACATTATCTGTGATAAAATTATTATTTATTTTATGTTGATAAATCTAATTGAAATCATCATTTATTTTGTTGGTGTACTCGATCCATAAACTAAAACATTAATATATTTTTTAGAAGGGGTAAATGAGTCACTAACTTATCAAAAATTAAAAAAATAAATAGGACTATTGTAAACATTTCCAAAAATTAAGGGGAACAAATGTATTAAAATAACCAAAACTATCATCCTTAACAATAGAATTCAAAAGGGAGAGGGGGAGAAGTGCCCACCCTCCTTCCTATGTAGCTTCACACTTGCTTATTAGGTGAACATTCACTATCCCCTATTAAAGTATTAGTCACTAATAATCATTGAATTGATAGTAAGTCTTAGTATTTTTTGAGACTTTAATCTAATATTTATGATTAATTAGATTAATAAATTATATCTAAATAACATTAATGCTCAGCCTCTCTGTCTCCCCTCCATAGTATTTTTCACGTCCATGGTCAAACCAGGACTATTAGGCTGCATCAAGCCCACCCCTTGGTGCACCTCCAAGAACCAAAGGACCCAGTGACATTTGCTTTTGATATGAATAAATTTAACTTGGGCCTGCTTGAACAACTGTACACAGTATCATATAATTACATCTTGATATCTTCGTCAACATGTGAAATGAATTCATGTCATTTCTGTCTTTAATTTCTCCATTGGCCCAAAAAATAATAAAAGTAATTTCTCCGGTGTGAAACCATATGAGTATATTGACAATAGACCATTCAATCCTTGAAAATAACGTTAAATAATGTAGATATATATGATTGCTTTTTTTTTTTATTGTTCCAACACTCTATGACATCATCTTTTTAAAATTTATAACTAAATTGCCAAAAGATTAAGTTATGTTTATCAAAATTTTCATCGTGCGGTATAAGTTTTATCATTAATATTAACGAAACTCACTTATTTTGCATGTCGACATAATTTATTATTAAATATTAAAGAAACTCAACTATGTGATTGTGAATGTTAAGTGTAACATTACATTGCTCTTCTACAACTTTTTTTTAATGGGGTAACTCATCCCCCGAACTACAAGTGCATAGCTCCACTGAATGGTTATATATTAGTCATTTTCTAGACCTTTTTTCTTATTAAATGCCCCACCGACTGAACTATCAGTGGCCTCTCTAGAGAGAGAGAGAGAGAGAGGCCATGGAAACCATTTCATGTTTTCGTCTGTCTGTCATCCTCTCCATAGCACTTTTCATTTTTGCACGTCCATGGTATACTCCAAGCAAACCGGGACTACTCGGCTGCACCAAGTCCACCCCTTGGTGCACCTCCAAGAACCGAAGGACCCAGTTAGGCTCAGTCCTAGAGACCCAAGTTTCACAGCCCAAGAACCTCCCAACAGACACCCCTTTACACCCTCTAGATCCACTAACCATACCAGAAATCAAGAAAGTTCGAGCCATCCTCTCCGCCTATGCACCCTTCTCATGGACCTTCCCAACAATCCATTCTCTCTCTCTGGATGAACCCGATAAATCCCGGGTCTTGGAATGGATAAAAGGTGATCCTCTTCCCCCTAGAAGAGCGTCTGTGATCGCACTATTGAATGGCCAAACTCATGTTCTCACCGTGGACTTGGATTTGGGCCTGGTCATTAGCCATGACAACAATCCCGGATCGGGCTATCCGACCTTATCCATGGATGACATTTCGGTTGCTTTACAGGTGACATTGTCCAATGAAGAGGTCAATAAATCAATCATGGCACGAGGAGTTGCGTATTCGGATTTATCTTGCATCACACCTTCGGCTGGGTGGTATGGGCCTAATGAGGAAGGAAAAAGGATCATAAAGGTCCAATGTTACTCTAGCCAAGGCACACCAAATTTCTACATGAGGCCCATTGAGGGGCTCACCGTGACCGTGGACATCGATAAGCGAGAGGTGGTGAAAATATCCAATACGGACCGAGGAATACCAGTTCCAAAAGCTACCAACACGGATTATCAGTACATGGCACAAGACAAGCCTATGGAAATGGAGCCACTCAATCCAATTTCAATAGAGCAGCCCAACGGTCAGAGCTTTCGAGTAGAAGATGGGCATATGGTGAAATGGGCCAACTGGGTGTTCCACATCAAGCCCGATCAACGAGCCGGAATGATAATTTCCCGGGCCATGGTACGGGACTCGGTGACAGGAGAGCTAAGGAGTGTGATGTACAAAGGTTTTGCTTCCGAATTATTTGTGCCATATATGGACATAGATGAATCTTGGTACTTCAAAACATACATGGATGCAGGTGAGTTTGGGCTAGGTGTGACAGCCATGCCACTTGTGCACCTCAATGATTGTCCTAGGTACTCATATTATATGGATGGGCTTTTTGTTGCTGCTGATGGGAAGCCTTTTGTTCAGTCCAACATGATTTGCATTTTCGAGCGCTATGCTGGGGATATTGGCTGGAGGCACTCCGAACTCCCTGTAAATAGTTTCGAGGTATGCTTGAATTTGTTCAGTCTTTCTACATTTATTTGTTCCTTTTCGTACTTTAAAATGAAGAGAGACTCATGTAATGTGTCACTCGTGTACCCATAGACGGAGGGAAGTAGCGGCCAGGGCAGGCACGTGTTCCCTCTCAATTTTTTTTTTATTATTAGATATATATATATATATATATATATATATTATGTGTGCTCCCTTATTTATATTAAACTACATTATTTACTCAAAATAATTAAACAATTAAGTCCATTTAAAACAAAAAAAATTGAACTAACTATTATCTATCTAAACTTATTAAAAAAATCAAATATTTGACCTATCACAATCCACACATATTAAAAAACAAAATTTTTAGCCAAACATTAAAAACAAAATTTTTTGCCCAACATTAAAAACAAAATTATTGACCCACCATCATTAAAAAATAAAATTTTTGGCCCACTTGACTCAAACTTATTTTATTTTATTTTATTTTTTCTCTATATCACTCACTCCCAACTGCCCACTACCCACTACCCGGCCACAAGAAAAAGAGAAAAAACAGAGAAAAACTCAACACACAAGAAACTCACTTCCTTGAGTTTTTTGTCCTTCCTTGTAGCATCCTATAAAATTATTTTATATATTATATTTACCCCCTAAATTTTTAGAAATTTTAATAATGGTTCTAGTCTTTATTTTTTTTTTAAATAAATTAGTGTACTACTAACCCTCTAAAATAAATATGTTAGTTTTAAATTGAGTCAATGTTTTATTTGTATATTGGTGAAAATACAATATTTCTCTTTATCTAACACAACGTTTGTTATTTTTTAAGAATAATTTTAATTTTTATTTATCATTTTTTTAGTAATAGTAGTTTATAACTTAATAAAATACGAAAATTAATTTACATTTCATTCATATACAAAATTTTAGAGATTTTAAAATTTTTTACTTTTTATTGAAATATATAATTACGTTAAAATGTATTAAAAAAATTATTTTGTGTCCTTTTGTTAAGATTTTGTTTCGGCTAAATAAAAATTGAATTTACTATTTCACATAATTTAGTGTTGATTCTTACTTTTTTTTTATTCTTGAATTGAATTTTTTTGTATTAATTTCGATTTAAAATTTTTTTATACCAATTATATTTTGCCACTATCATAGATATTCATAACTCCGCCCCTAACAATATATTTTTTTTTTTGGAATTTTTTATATTAGATGAACTTCATATATCAAATATAATATAATAAATATAAATATGTTATATAGTGTGATTGATTAAAAGAAAAAAAATTAGAGTACATAATTAAAATATCCACCCGAATAAAATTCGTGGCTCTGCCCTGCATGTACCACCTAGTGACACAATCCTTGATCCCCGGTAAACTAGTGTTTTTTGAGCTTGATCATGACCCAACTCAAATTGCCGGTATTAACATCTCTAAATTGGCCCATTTACACAACCCTAGCTTTACAATGGACTCATATATCCTGATTTGAATTTGGAGTTTCTTCCTCCAATTCAGAAGGGAATCATGCTAATTAATACATTAACATTAGCAAACAAATTATAAATCCAAACTATGATTTTGATCTTAAATTTGGCGTAGATAAGAGAATCGAGGCCGAAGGTTACGCTCGTGGCTCGAATGGCAGCATCAGTTGGAAACTATGACTACATATTCGACTGGGAATTTCAAACTGATGGTTTGATCTCTGTCAAGGTAGTTTTTATTAATGCATGGTGATATTATGTGTCGATGATAACACTGCTGTGATGAATATTTACTAGACTTGGACAGCTAAAATGTATTACCTCCTAACAGGTAGGGCTGTCTGGAATGCTAATGGTGAAAGGAACACCATACGAAAATGTGTATCAAGTTCCTATCAGCAAGGAGATATCAGGTTCTCTTGTATCGGAAAATGTCATCGGTGTAGTTCACGATCACTTCATTACCTTCCACATCGACATGGACATCGATGGCCCCAACAATTCGTTTGTCGAGGTGAATCTTGTGAAGGAAGAGACTTTGCCGGGCGAGTCACCTAGGAAAAGCTACTTGAAGGCAAAGAGGCATGTGGCTATGATGGAGGAGGATGCGCGAATTAAGCTCAAGCTCTATGATCCATCGGAATTTCATTTGGTTAACCCTTCGCGGAGGTCTAGGTTGGGTAATCCGGCAGGGTACAAAGTTGTTCCTAGTGGCACTGCTGCTAGTCTGCTTGATCTAAATGACCCTCCACAAATCAGAAGTGCTTTCACAAACAATCAGGTACCATTCTTTGAATTCTCTTGCTCGTTGATTTGTGATCTTATTGCACATTTCACATCATTCTACTGATGGTCTGTTTATAAATTGGGATGACCCTAGTAGGTAGGGCAATCCATTGGCTGGGTTAGCCAGTGGCGGGCTGGAAAACAACCCTAAAAAAAGGCCGTGCATAGCCCGGCCTAGAAATGTAACCCACCCTATCTAGGCTACGATAGTGTTCGAGTTCACGGACCAACCTGTAATCTTGCTTACTACATGGCCCACTCGGTTTGAAACCCATCCAAAATTCAAATTTTTTGGTGAAATTACAATTTATGAGTTAGAGTAACAAGTCATGTTAAGTTAGAGTACAATATTAAGGTATAGTTTGATTATTTAATAAGACACAATACATGGGCTGGCTTCGCCCGTGCCATTGCCCATATCCTAGATTATGGGACGGGCCATGGTTTGGGTCCTTGACTAGTGGCCCGATGAGCCCATTTTGCAAGCATGACCATGTTCGATCCTCACAGACATTCTAGTAGGAAGGTCGATCACTACATAATTTATCATCAGTCCAAGAGAGAAGCAAACTACCTTTCATTTATCCACCTTCCTGGACAGGGTAGAGAACGAAAATGGATGGCAAATGATGGTCATGGTAGGTTCGAAGATCTTATGTGGAAGAGTGAACAAATGTCACAAGTTCATTACTAATCAATATTTTCGATGAAAAGGCTCCAATTTTGCTTTCACACACTAATTGTGTTAGGAATTTAGTTGCAAAATTCTCACTAAATTTGCCTTTTTGTGTGATAGATATGGGTGACTCCATATAACCGGACCGAACAGTGGGCTGGAGGCCTTTTGGTATATCAAAGCAAGGGAGAAGATACACTAGCTGTATGGTCTGAAAGGTAAAAAAGGCACCATAGTCACATTGGCACCTCTCCACATATACGTAGAGGTAAAACTGTTTATATTTGACTTTTTATACTTTCTTTTCTTTTTGTTTGATGAAACAGGAATCGTCCAATTGAGAACACAGATATAGTATTGTGGTACACACTGGGATTTCATCACATACCTTGCCAGGAGGACTTTCCCGTGATGCCAACTGTTTCGTCAAGCTTTGCTCTGAAGCCCGTTAATTTTTTCGAAAGCAATCCAATCCTTCGTTCCAAGCCCAACTTCAAAAAGGACCTACCCGTTTGTAGGCCTGCTAGTTCATCTTGATTCATCTTTCATAACTATTTTTTCCACTCATTTCGAATTGAGATTTAAATTCGAGGTCGAGTTATCGATAAAAAATATTAAATAATATCGATCATTGGTAGTTAATTACTGATTCAAGTTTTACTCTGGGTGAGGCCAATACAACTCTCCCTGTAGTCCCTTAAACAAGTTCTCTATCACCCCAAAAAAATATATACAACATACCAAAAAAATGATTTTTTTTTAAACCACCAAAAAAAAAAAACAAAAAATAATTTCGAATCACCCTTTAATCTCTCTTTTTTTCTAGAGAAAAATGTACAAATTAAATGTGGTGACATCATTTTTAACATATTTTATCTTTTATTTTCTTTTAGAGGGATCACCTATCATATATTTAAGTGGGACCTTCACTCATTAATTGTGAAGAATAATCTGTGACGAAAAAATTTAAAGAGAAAAATATAAAAAATTCTATTTAAATTTAATATGGAGACCTAATCAACTACAATTGCTAAGTTGAAAGTGGACAGTATTTAATATTAAAATTTTTAAATTAAATTAAAGTTCATACAAAGTGGTAAATTATAAAATTGCCCAAAAAGTATTTAGATTGAATTTGGATTCATAAATTATTACGACCACATTGGGTCCCAGCTGGAATCTGGATACCAGCCCAATCAAGATTCCAAAAGGAGAGGTCAATGGTTTGGTCACTGTTCTCCAAAAAAAAGCATAAAATAGTGGATTCTTAGACCAATAATAGGGAGATGTTAATGCTTTTGCCATTTGGATTCTAGTGTAACTTTATCTATGTAGCATGTGGTTTTAGGGTTTGATTCATAAAGAAAAGTTGCGATGCGACACACATCTATAAGTGGATGTTATGCAGTCTGCAGCAGCCCCCACTCATGAGATTTTCCATGTCACAACCCACCTTACAAAATTTTGGCTTTTGTTCTCACAATAGGTATCCATGGCTACTTTGCTCTCTATTTTTTTTCTTCAATTTTGTTCTTAAACTTTTTTATATAATAATAATAATAGAATAAACTTCATATGTAATTCTTAAACTAAAACCATTATATCAATTAAGACCTTAATTTTTTTTTTGTGTCAATTAAGTTTCTGAATTTTTTAATTGTGTTAATTTAGTCATTTTGTCTTTTTGTGCCATATAATTACATGAGTGACACATTCTAACGGAAGTAGACATAAAGGTTCAATTGACACAATTAGAGAATTTAGGACTTAATTGACCAAAAATAAATAAAAAATAAAAACTTGTGGATATAAATATCATAGTTTGAAGGTTATATATGTAATTTATTCCATATAATATTACTTTTCCACCTAAAAAAAAATCTTGTTTGCTAGAGTCCATGGAATGTCTTATCATTCTATACTCTCAAAGAAAATTATTTACAAGAAAACTTTGTATTCATCCATAATGCCTTGTTGTTGTCAATGTTTTTAAAGAAAGCAATTAAAAAATGAGAGTCTGGATTTTAAGATATGAAGTGAGTTAGATGCACATAATTTTACCGGTGTATATCAAGAGTTTATGTGTCTTGAATTTGGAAAATCTAAATTACAATAGAATAATTTATTGATTTGTTAAAAGTCACACTCCACATGCATGAGGATTTAAAGAAAAAAAATATATTATGAATTTTTTTTGTTAGATTGGGAAGTAAAATTCAATTTGGGTGAGAATACAACTCAATCATTAGATTATAATAAAATAAATTTATTTAAAATCAATCTTAAAATGTTAAAATTGATAATTTAGTGTAGACCCAAACATTTCAATATCAATCTTAGTTTTTTTAGTAGCAATTCAATGCTGTAATTTGACCAAATTTACAGTTGTAACTTATAACTATGCCCTACTTAACAATTTTTGGTACCCTAATCGTTTGATTTCTACATAAACTACTTGCTATAAATGCACATCTCACACATACATATGCAAGACTGATTCCTCACGTAACTTGGGATTTGTGGCCTCTATAACTAGCTCAACTATGAACAATCATCTCACACACACACACACATATATATATATATATATATATATATAAATAAAATATATCTCAATACAAATAATTAATTTTTTATCTATATTTTTTTTAATTTTAAAAAGTCAGAAAAAAAATTAATTTATCAATTCCTCTATTATTTATATATATTTATATTTTTTATCATGACATCCTTAGGACTCCTTCCATTTTTCAATCGCACTAAACGCAGCATTATAAACCTTTAGTAGTCAATACCCGAAACACAGTCACTGAGAGAGAGAGAGATGGAAGGAAGAAGACTCCTTCGCTTGCTCTTCCTCCTCTTCGCCACCGTTCTTCTGTTACTGTTTACATTGTTAAACTTCCCTTATCCGCCGTCCAACACGGCGGAGCTACTGGACTGCACCACATATTCCCCATGGTGCACCTCCAAGAACCGCTTCCAGTCCAAAAAACCAGACCTTGTCAAAAACCCATCATACCCCACGCGCCACCACCACGCCGCCGACGTCCCTCACCACCCTCTTGATCCACTCACTATACAAGAGTTCAACAAAGTCCGCTCGATTCTCAAATCTTACGCGCTCTTGGAAAATAAACCATACGCGCTTCACTCTGTAGTCTTGGAAGAGCCAGAGAAGTCGGTGGTTCTCAAGTGGCAAAAGGGTGACCCTCTTCCGCCGAGAAAAGCCTCCGTCGTCGCACGTGCCGAAGGTGTCTCGCACGTGCTTACGGTGGACATTGACACGAGCGAAGTAACAGGCGGCCACGAGATGCATCTTTCCGGCTATCCTCCGATGTCCATGGAGGATATGACTTCCGCCACGGTGGCCCCACTAGCTAATGCTGATTTTAACCGTACGATCATCGAGCGCGGGATTGATTTGGTGGACCTTGCTTGTTTGCCCATCTCCTCCGGATGGTTTGGTAAGAATATACATAATTTTTAGACTTTAATTTTAGTTAGAAACATTGATATCATGTTGAAAAGTAATTTTTAATTTGATTGTAAAACAAATAAAATAAAATAAAGAATTTTTACATATGTTAAAATTAAAATTAAAAGGCTACAAAATAGAGTTGGCAACTAAAAAGAAATGTATCATATGAAAATTATAATATAATTACCATCTTTAACAATATAATTATAATTTATATGATACTAAATTTTTTTTTGTGTACATAGAAAAATTTGATAGGTTTTTACATTTAATGTTTAGCTTTTTTGATTATTAAATGTTAGATTGTGATCTAACGGTTTACAAAAAAAGTATTTATCATAAATTATAGTGTATAGCTTTTACTATCGGTCTATGAACTGTAACATATCGTGCATATTCATCAACAAAATCATAGTTTTGATCTATTGAGATATTTAACATGTTTTATGGTAGTGTGGGCCAATATGAGTTATTTGTGCTGATTGTTGTTTCTACTACTTTGTCATAGTGCCTAGTCACATTCAAAGTGCTAATGACAAATCCAAGTAACTCTATTTAAAGATAACATATTCGAGTTATGATAATAGTCTAAATCTTTTACGGACGATGGTATTGTAATTATGTCCTTTGTTTGATTGAATTTAGGTAAGACAGATGAGAAAAGGAGGTTGATTAAGGTGCAGTGCTACTCCACGAAGGACACTGCCAATTTCTACATGAGACCCATTGAAGGGCTCACTGTTCTTCTTGATTTGGACACTAAAGAAGTGGTGGAGATCACTGATGAAGGGAGGAACATACCCATACCAAAGGCTGCCAACACAGACTATCGTTACTCATCCCAAAGTACCCATCAAAAACTGAAGCTACTGAACCCTATATCCATAGAACAACCCAAGGGTCCTAGTTTTACCATAGAGGATGAGCATATAGTGAAATGGGCAAACTGGGAATTTCACTTAAAGCCCGACCCAAGAGCTGGTGTGATTATTTCTCGGGCCATGGTTCGGGACCCGGAAACTAAAGAGTTGAGGAATGTGATGTACAAAGGATTGACATCTGAGTTGTTTGTGCCATATATGGATCCGACTGATGCATGGTACTTTAAGACTTATATGGATGCTGGCGAATACGGGTTCGGACTTCAGGCCATGCCCCTTGAACCGCTCAATGATTGTCCACGGAATGCCTACTATATGGATGGTGTATTCCCATCTGCCGATGGAACACCGTACGTCCGATCCAACATGATTTGTGTGTATGAGAGCTATGCAGGTGATATTGGGTGGCGACATTCGGAGTGTCCAATCACGGGCATGGAGGTAAAATTAGTCAGCTAATACTCTCCAAATTTTATTTATCGATCTAATTTGCTAAATTAATACATTAGTGCCATTGGTTGATAATATATCACATATTAATCTAATCATACCAATAAACCAGATCAACTATATTATGGTTTATCGCACATCAATGCCAAGTATTACAAAATAAAGATAAAAATGTTAAATATCGTACATGATATTTGAACTTGCGATTATTTTAAAATGATGCTTAATTGTCAGTTATATCAATTTAGTTCTAGATTATATAAATCACAGTAATTAGTTTCATTTTTCCGATTTCTGCATTGAAAGAACTGAAAAAATTCGTGCCACCTGTTTCAATTTGTCCCATAAAGTTTCAATTTATAGTTGTTCCATAATCTTTTATTTTTCCCCATAAATATTTACATTTTTTTTTTGTTTGATTTAACGGATGTATTAGACGAAATGGGTTGATTGTTAGTACTTATATAATTCAAAAATTAAGCCGAGACAAATTTGAAGTTAAAGAACCAAATTGAAACATATATTATATCTTGGAGGTTTTTTGGGGTAGGGCTTGGGATCATTTACCGTTAGAAAATTAACAATAGAGGTATTGTTGATCAAAATGGTGTTGTTTTTATTAAAAAAATTAATAGCAGGAAGAGTCAGATCCGGTATCTTTGATATTTACCCCAAAATGGGAGGTATGAGAGTAAACAGACCGACTGGGTCATTCATAATCTGATGTCTTTTGTCCAGAGGTTTCTTCCACACACATCAGCATTGGACTTGTTGGCATCTAGTTTGTTGATTGTCTTCTTTCTTTTCATTTTGGCAGATTAGAGAGGTACGCCCGAAAGTGACGTTGGTGGTAAGGATGGCAGCATCAGTCGCAAACTATGACTATATTATGGATTGGGTGTTTCAAACAGATGGAGTAATCAGAATCAAGGTTTGTGATTTATAATTTGCAAGAGTTTGATATGACTATCTTTTGTGATATTGGGCATGTCATGTCAGTGTCCAATTTTTTTTTTTTTTTTAAAACAGTAAGTGATGTTCAGGTTTGTTTACATGCATCTCCATGATGTTCACGCCGAAATTAGAGTATTCATGAGGAATTAAATTCTTTATGACGTGATCCTAAGATTCAAACTCAGGACATTTAGATTTACAGTTCATTCTTGATTACCTATTGAGATTATGTCAGTGTCCAATCACCATCTCATAATTCAACATTTTCTCTTCAACAATCGCTCTCAAAAGCATAGAAATATCTTTCGTTTTGATGTATGGTTGATTGCTACATTGTCTTGGTCTCAACTTGGAATTTTCTCCTCAACGAAACGGTTAGATTCTCCTCTACCAGTCCACTTCAATCTATCTGTTGGACACCTATTTTTGCCTCCCAAGATTTTCCTGAAACAAAAACACGTCTTATAAACGTTACAAACTAAAATATGCCATGAAAAGAAAATTGATACAAATGTATTGTAGATACGACAGTTAATACAGAAAACAGAAAACCCAAAAAGCATATTCGTTTGGGTCGTATGCACATCTTGTTTGTTCTTAATTAGCAGTTTCGTTTTGGTCGTGCATTCTAGGATTGGATATTGCCTTGCCTACTAATCATGTCTGATTAAGTGGTATTGTGATAGGTGAAATTTCTCCACTAATTATGTACTTGTAGTGCTGATTTTAGTATATCTGGAACAACAATCACAGGTTGGGCTTAGTGGTATTTTGATGGTGAAAGGCACCCCTTACATGAACATGGACGAAGTGAACCAACAAGAAAACCTCTACGGAACACTTTTGTCCGAGAATGTTATCGGTGTCATCCACGACCACTACATCACATTCTATCTCGACCTGGACGTCGATGGCTCAAATAATTCTTTTGTAAAGGTCAATCTCGAGAGGCAAAGAACCAAACCTGGAGAGTCGCCAAGGAGGAGCTACTTGAAAGCAGAAAGAAATGTGGCTAAGACAGAGAAGGATGCACAGGTTAAGTTGGGTTTGTACGACCCATCAGAGTTCCATGTGATCAACCCATCTAAAAAGACAAGGGTGGGTAACCCAGTTGGGTATAAGGTGGTTCCTGGTGGCACTGCGGCTAGCTTGCTTAGTCATGATGATCCTCCCCAAAAGAGAGGTGCTTTTACAAACAACCAAATTTGGGTCACTCCATATAATGAGACAGAGCAATGGGCCGGTGGCTTGTTTGTTTATCAAAATCAAGGAGAAGACAATCTTGCAGTATGGTCTGAAAGGTGAGAGCCTCTGAACTGAAATTGATTTTCCAATTTTCCTGTCAATCCCTTTTATTTCGTCATTTCATTGGTAATGCGACGAAAACTTGAACATCGTGACACTTCCATTGCATAAATTTAGAGAGATAGGGTGCACCACATATAGAGATAAACATTGATAGGTCAAAGATACAAACATATTACCAATTAATTCTGCACCTTTGAAAAAAATTGAGGTTTTTTCCACATAATAGTGTCAACCAAAGACCATAGCATACACTGGAGAATAATCCCTAGTCACTTCGTTGCTCCAAAATCTTTTGACAAACTCCAAACACATGTCCTGTAGTGAAAATATTTGAAACGAGAGATTTTTCTCCATGGCTATCTAGTGTTGATTGTGGACAACATGACATGACACCATTACTTTCTCAATTCAATGTCCAAAAAGCATGCTTTGAATTTGGGTAACTTGGAAAACATTATGCAAGATTCTAGTTTTTATCAAATTACCTCTGATTGTCACACTGGCTAATAGTCATATGAACACGATGGATGTGCAGGGACCGGCCGATCGAGAACAAGGACATTGTGTTGTGGTACACATTAGGCTTCCATCACATACCATGTCAAGAGGACTTCCCGATCATGCCCACTGTGTCTTCAAGCTTCGATCTAAAACCCGTCAATTTCTTCGAGAGCAATCCAATTCTGGGAATCCCACCTAATGTTGAGAACGATCTGCCAAATTGCAATGCTGCTGCTTCAGTTTGATAGCTAATCAACTGTAGTTTTTTGTTGTAGAATGTATATATGTAAGCATGGAAGAAACTGGAACTTTGGACTGTTTCTAATTCGACGTTTTAATAAATAAATGGTGATTATTGGCTTTCTGCTGTAAAATTGAGATTCTTGATGATGGGAGAGGTAAGTTTGCAGACTGCCATTGTAGTTTCAAACTTATCCGTCAAACTAACGTTCTTTAATGAAAGCGTATTTAAACTAACGTTCTTCCAAAACACACTTCTACAACAAAAGGCAATGATTTGTTAAAGCAGTTGAAACACAGAATTTTCTTCCGTCGTTTAGTAAAGTGTCTGAAATCCTCAAAAGCACCATGTGTATCATGCTCTTGTTGGCTTTATTCTTAGCACGTAATCTGCCCTAGCTGAAAAAGCTAGGATAGAACTGGTTTTGGCATGCAGAAGGGAAGTGCATACACATTCTTAAGCCCATTTAAAAAGCCCTGGATTGGATAACACTGGTGTTGGTATTGCGATAAGAGGTGTCTTCTTCTTCAACACAATGCCAAACTTCTCTGAAACTTCTAACTTCTCTTCCTCCGGCAGTTTCCAGTCGAAAGAATGTAGTAGCGAAGCAAGCGAAAACATCACCATCCTCTCGGCCATTGCTATTCCTGCACAAATTCTCCGGCCAGACCCAAATGGGAAATAATTAAAATCCTTCCCACTGTAATCCCCTTTTCCATCCAAAAACCTTTCTGGACAAAACTCCAATGGGTTCTCCCAAATCGAAGGATCCCTATGTATTGCCCAAACATTCACGAAAACTTGAGACCCTTTTGGAATTGTGTAGCCTCCTACCACACATGGCTCGCTCGGGCAGTGAGGAACCATGAGGGGGAGGACTGGGTGTAGGCGTAGAACCTCTTTCATTACAGCATCTAAGTATGGTAGTTGATGAATGTGAGACTCTTCCACGATATTGTTTTTGCCCACTACTCCAATTCTTCTTGGGCTTTCTTCATGACTTCTGGTTTTTTCATCATCTCAGCCATTGCAAACTCCACTGTGTTTGATGTCGTGTCAGTCCCGCCCACGACCGTATCCTATGCACAGATAAAATTGCACTATGTAAACAAAATCTAACGGAATTGATAAAATTGAAGTTAAGGGTAGTCTTATAATGGATTGAATTTCCGTTCAGATATGATACTATTTTGAATCCCAATTAGTTGAATATGAATTAGTATTTTTGATCGACAATTTGAATCTGAAATCAATTCGGACTATTGAACCGAAAACTACCTATTGGATTTGACTCCAACTTGGGCGCACGGCTTAGCAAAACTTTAAGGGTTCTACTGGTACACATGGACCGTAGAAATAGGAAAACATACCATTAGCAAAGCTTTGAGGTGGATCATGGTCAATGGAGTTTTCGAATCTCCTGCATCCTTCAGCTGCAACAAAACCTGCAGAAAGTCCTTGCTTTCTTTGCTGATAATACCCTGTTTATCCATTTTTATCCTTTGATTAATTACCTTATCGAAAATCCGATCAAACCTCTGGGCCAGTCCCTTCATCTGCTTCCTTATGCCTTGCATATCAAGCCAGGCCAATCCGGGAAAGAAATCCGACACATTAGGCTTCCCCAACAGCCCAGTAACCTCCCCAACCACCTGCCAGAACTCTGCTCCGATTCTAGAACTCTCTTTCTCCTGAACTGTACCACCCCATAACATGCTTGTTATCACATTGAGCACAGTCAAGAACATCTGCTCACCAATATTAACCGGCTGCCCCGCCTGCCAGTACAAGAATCCAATAGTTTTTCTGATTTCTTGTCGTCGGAGGGTGTAAACAGCATCTAGAGTCGAGCTTCCGAGCATGTCACGAACACAGACCTTCCTCAGCATTCTCCACTCGGATCCATATGGTGTGAATACTATGTCACGGCCACCATATTCTATTGCTGTGATGACATGGGGTACATCCCGGTTGGCGAAGATGGTGTCGTGGTCCTTGAGCACCTCGCGCGCTATTGCAGGCGAGGTGACCACAATGCTTACTTTAGAAACCTAGCCGGAGTGTATGGATCAGACCATAGGTCCGAGCCATGCTGGCGAAGTAGGAGTGGAGCTCCGGGTCAAGGGACAGGAGGTTTCCGACCATTGGAAGGCCTTGCGGACCCGGCGGCAAAGGTAGACACTTACCCTGATGGGACTCTTCTGAAAAAGCCTATGATGAAGACACGTGTCCTCGGGGATTTCTAGAACAATGTTGCTCGGGGTTCAAGCACCATCGGCAAAGCTCCCTCTCCCCGAGGTACCTCTCATATAGGATCACATATTCGGTACAGTATACAAATACATGTGTCCTCGGTCACCATGTACCTCGGGAACACACCACCTTGGTCCCCCGAGGTGAGCCTTTCCTCGGCACCGAGGGTCACTCCATCCTGGACGCTTCCTCTACTCCCGGATAAAGCTACTGACAAACTGGACATCAGCCTATGCCAGTATGGACTAGTCATCATGACCTCTTCTTACACAAGAAATGTCAGAACATGCTGGGATACAGAAGTCGTAGCCAATAAGTGACGGACGCGTGGCATATGATGTCACATCAAAAACAGGCAAACCGCACGCTATTGCTGACATGCGCTTTGGGAAGCAAACAATTAATTGCACCCTTCTGTTGACGAGACCGCATTCAATGCGGTAAGGTTCGGATATGAAAGGCAATAAATGCTCCTATTACAGAGCATTTATTGCATCCTTCCCGAAAGGAGCATATTGTACCGTCGGCGTCCCGACGACTCAACATTGATTGCTCGGGACCCCGAGCAGTCAATTAGAGAAGACATTCCTCATCAAATCAATACACACGCTACCAGTGCCTGATGATCACCTACTGACCACACTGACAGCAATCATGAGTTTCTAAGGTATAAATACCCCTCCCAAAAAGGCAAATGGTATGCAATCAAAACTCTCAACTACAAAATATCCTTCTCAGTGTTTTCTCCTTCCTCTCTCTCATTCAAAGACTGACTAGACCGTCGGAGGGGATACGCCGGAAAACACTCCGGCGCCCTTCTAACCTGTTCTCTTTTGTTCCAGGAAATACCTTTCGCACGTACAGGATCGTTCCTCCTTTCCCAGGATCTTCCTTTGCCGTTTCGGTTGCCACCGTACCTTGTAGGCTGTTTCAAGCAGTTGTTTGGCCACTCAACCGGCTCACCCAAAGTTCACCAGGGGAGAGATCTGTTCCCAATATTTATATATATCGTGCAGGATCAAGCCCGCACAATCTGGCGCCGTCTGTGGGAAACGAGTAGTTTTCCTAATCTTTTCTCTAAAAAGAACAGTGACCATGGTGAACACCAGACAGAAAGGGAAAGGACCCCACCAACGGAGTCATGAGTTGCAAGCTCCCTGCCATCACGGAGGGAGGGATCGCACCAGTACGATTAAAAGTGCCTCTACTCGGTCAAGGGGGGTAACCCCTCAAACCAGTATGGGTATCAGGTCAGGAGGATCAGCCCCCTTGGCCCGTCAGCTGGCAGAGGTGATTGAAGAGAAATTTGGCGATAGATTACGTCAGCTGGAGAAGGACAATGTAAACGTCCTTAGCCGGCTCGACGAGTTTGCTGCCTCAGGCGGAGGGTCGAGGGATTCATTCCTCTCCCGAGGACTCCCCGTCCATGAGGCGGAGACAAAGGATCTAAGGAACCACCTGGATCACAAAGCAGAAAGCTCCAGGGCCCCGAAGCGACCCAGGGCCGGCGAATGCCATCTTGACAACCATTCCAGGAAAGCAAGGCCATTGGCCCTGGACGACCTCCGGCGAGGTTTATCCAGACGGAGGAAGGGAGATGAATCCGAGGAGGACTCAACCCAATCTACACGACGCCCAGGAAACGAGGGGCTTACCGACGAACCCAGAGACTTCAGGAGGCATCCCGCAAGGGAAGTAGATCTCAGAGCCCGATTAGACTCCAGGAGAAAGGGCAAGACGATCCAGGACGAGGCCGAGGACGAAGTCATGCAAACACCCTTCACGAGGGAAATCAGCGAGATGGACGTCTCAAGAAAGTTCGTCGTGCCACGGTTCAAGACCTATGATGGGCGATCTGATCCCGATGCCCATATCAGACAGTATAAGCAGATGATGTCCCTCTATCATTCGGACCAACGGTTTCTATGCCGGGTGTTCCCTATGAGCTTGGGGGACTCCGCGATGAGGTGGTTCGAGGCGCTTCCCCCAAACAGTATTGGGTCCTGGAAAGAATTGACAAGGCAGTTCCTAACCCGATTCATCACGGGGAGTAAGCGCCCAAAGGACATTGGATCACTGCTGACCCTCAGGAGGAGGGAATCCGAGACTCTTCGCCAGTACGCCATCCGATACTGGGAAGAAGTCAATGAGGTCGAGGGATGCTCGGAGGTCATGGCAGCAGCATCATTCCGGCTCGGCTTGGCAAGGGACACGGACCTGTACCGATCCCTGACCAAAAAGACTCCCTCGGATATGGGGGAACTGATGGCCCGGATCAACAAGTACTCAAGGGTCGAGGACGAGATGGGGAGCAACAAAGGCCGAGCCCTCCAACCCAAGAGAAAGGAAAAGAGCACGAAGATATTCCCCGGAAGGGATTGCTACCCCGTCCAGGGGGTTCGTCCAGAGGAGTTCACACCGTCTTCAAGGAACCCATCTTCAGGTTGCTCCATAAAATCAAACGCGAGCCGTTCTTCAAATGGCCGCCCAGGATGCAAAGCGACCCCTCCACCCGTGATCAAACAGTAAGGTGTTCATATCACCGGGATGTCGGGCATCGCACCGAGAGCTGCAGGGTGTTCAAGTCATTCTTGGAGAGCTTAGTCCGAGATGGATACCTGAAAGAATACATAGAGCCTAGGCCAGAAGAAAAACGAGCCCCTGCCCCGACCGAGGAACCAAACAACGTCATAGACGTCATCCATGTGTGTCCACTGGAGCGCCCCACGTCCAAAGAGCTCGAATCCGACCTCAAGAGGGTAGCTTTTACCAGAAAGGTAGCCGAAGGAGGTGTGGGCCCATCAAGCAAAAGGGCCAGGATGGGTGAGCTTGGCATTATGTTCTCTGACGCGGATTTGACGGGCGTGGTGATTCCTCATAACGACGCCCTTGTCTTAACCCTGAAGATAGGGAAATTCGATGTCAAGAGAATCTTGATTGATTCAGGGAGTTCCTCGGAGGTGATGTACTTCGAGACTTTGAAGCGGATGGGTTTTGGCCCCCAAGACTTGACCAAAATCAGGACACCCCTCATCGGGTTCAACGGCTCTTTCGCCTTGCCCGTGGGGAAAATTACATTACCGGTCGCCACTGGTCCCTTCGTCATCGACACAGAGTTTGTGGTGATCGACACGGACTCCCCTTACAACGTGATTATGGGTCGAACATGGCTACACGCTTTGGGAGCGGTACACTCCACTCTCCACCAAAAGTTGAAGTTCGCCACGCCAGAGGGCGTCATGGAGATCCGGGGAGATCAAGCGTCTGCGAAGAACTGTTTTTATTCGGCCGTCCGAGCCGGGGCGTCCGGCCAGGAGAAGGGGCGAGCACCGGAAGAGATCATAGAAAAATAGCAATTACAGTCCGGGCGTCCGGGGATGGATGACCCCCGGGTAGACCCAGCGGAACGGTCGGTTGAAGACCTCCGGAAGGTGCCCTTGGTAGAAGGAGAAGAAGAGAAGTATTTCCTAGTTGGGACCTCGATGCCCGCAGCCGAACAGGAGGAGATGATCAGGTTCTTAAGAGGGAATACAGACGTGTTCGCCTGGAACGAAATGGAAATGACAGGAGTAGACCCCGAAATAATTACTCACAGGCTGCATGTTGACCCATCTCACAAGCCAGTAAAGCAAAGGCCACGACGTATGGCCCCGCATCACGCCAACGCGGTCAATGAGGAAATAGACAAACTCCTGAGAGCTGGCGCCATTCGAGAGATACAGTTCCCAGAATGGCTGTCCAATACAGTATGTGCAAAAAAGAAAGGGGGGAAATGGCGTGTCTGCGTGGATTTCACAGATCTTAACAAGGCATGTCCCAAGGACGACTACCCCCTGCCGAAGGTGGACCAGCTGGTAGATGCCACAGCCGGATATGAACGAATGGACTTCCTGGATGCTCGAGCGGGATATCATCAGATCCCTCTTTATGCCCCGGACCAAGAAAAAACGGCGTTTATCACTCCGAAGGGAGTTTATTGTTATAAAGTGATGCCATTTGGATTGAAGAACGCCGGGGCAACATACCAAAGATTGATGAATCGGATGTTCAAGAGGCAGATCGGCAACACCATGGAGGTCTACATAGACGACATGCTGGTAAAAAGCAAACGGAGTGGTGATCATCTTACAGACTTGGCGGATACCTTCTCCACTCTCAGGGAGTATGGGTTGAAGCTAAATGCAGCAAAGTGCGTCTTCGGAGTGGAGTCGGGAAAATTCCTCGGGTATCTGGTTAGTCATCGGGGAATCGAAGCCAACCCAGATCAGATTAAAGCAATCCTGGATATCCGAAGCCCTCGCACTGTCCGAGAGGTCCAGAAACTCACAGGGATGCTGGCTGCACTTAACCGATTCGTCTCACGCTCCTCGGATAAATGCAAACCCTTCTTTGGAGCAATCAAATGTGCTGGGAAGAGTATGTGGAGCCAGGGGTGCGAGGACGCCCTGGCTGGGATCAAAGAATACCTGAGGACTCTTCCAACCCTATCCGTCCCCATCCAGGGGGAGATGCTGTTCCTATACCTGGCAGTTTCAGAATTTGCAGTAAGCGGAGTACTTATCCGTGAGCATGAGCACCGACAGAAGCCGATTTACTACATCAGCAAGGCGCTCCTGGATGCAGAGACAAGATATCTGCCCCTAGAAAAACTGGCCCTGTCCTTGGTCACCACTGCGAGGAAACTGCGCCATTACTTCCAGGCGCACCCAATCACTGTCCTAACTGATCAGCCCTTGAAGGCAATTTTGAGGAAAGCTGAACTCTCCGGAAGGATCTCCAAATGGGCTGTAGAGTTGGGGGAGCACGACATTCATTTCAAACCCCGAACTGCAATAAAGGGACAAATACTGGCGGACTTCATAGCCGAGTTTTCGGGGGAGAATCCTGTTCTAGAAGGATCGCCTCCTCCCAACTTAGCATC